TCACATTGAAGAAGCTTTGGCCATGTCAATGGGTTATTTCGATCTCCATATATTTTCCTGAATGCTCTAGCAACTTCCGAACTATTCTTAGATGTGAGTGGGACAGAGGCTTTATATCGGGAAGCGCAGTCTATCATATTAAGTACCGCTTTATAGGTTTTACCTCTGTAATGATCATGGGTGAGAAATAATATATCACACTGATGCACACAATTTGGTCATGTTATTTTCCCATAACTGACTCTAGGAATATGTTTGGGTGGAGGCATATAGATTTGGTACGATTGCTGGTGTTCCAGCCAATTTTTTACATCTTTTAAGTGAATCAGTGCCTCTTTTTTTTACACGCATCACTTGCCTTAAGCGCTTTCAGCAAGGATTTAGGATTGGAATAATATCCAGATGGGCAATAATATACATTACGCATTATAAGATTTTTTTCGATTCTCTGGGCCTCTTCTGGATCGATATATATAACTGGTTTTCCCATTACTTTATTTGACAATAGTAAATAAAAAAATATGGAGGAATTACAGCAAAGTAATCAAGAACTCTATGAGGTAGTATCACAATTAGCGGAATCAAATAGGAATTTCGAACAACGTCTATATACCTTGGAAAGAATTATTGGCATACGGGAGGAAAGAATACGGTTTCTTGAAGAAGAGTTAAACAATACCATCGAAGCTTCTACAGAAGAAAAAGAGGAGTTAAAAGAAAAAATTTCAAAATTAAAAAGAATTGTTCGCCAGCTCGAGGAAGAAAACAAAAAGAAAGATAAAGAAATTTCGAATAAGAATGAATTAATAACAGAATTCGATGAACGAGAGACAAAATTAAAAAACCGAATACAAAATCTGCAGGCAATACCCCCAAAGCACAAGATTATACAACCAGATTAGTGGACGAGAATGAACGGCTTAAACGAGAAATAAATACGGTAAGAACTAATCAAATAAATAGGATTAACAAAATAACTCAACAAAAAAGTCGTATTACAGACCTGCTTTGTCAAAATTTCGCATTATCCTTATTAAGATATAGAGATAGATTGGAGCTTATAAATACCAGAGAGGCTTTGCAAAATGCACAGGCATGGAATTTTAATGAAAATGAATCTGATTCTGATGAAAATTCTCTAGACTTGTATAATTCTGATGATAATATGGCTACAATAGCTGAGTTGGCCGATGCGATAGATCGATCCCTAAATGATACAACGATATGTAGAACCGTTTTAACAAATCAAATTAAAAGATCAACAAGATCAATCCGACGTAAATATACTAACCTGCAACAAGATCCGGTGAATGAACGATGGAACCGTGACATATATAGGCAGGAGCGTGATCAAGCAGTGCAGGAGCGTGATCAGTTACGGACTAATGCTCAGAATCAAGTAAACAGAATGATAGATCATGTAGCAAGAAAACAAACCCGTATTGGTGAATTGCTACGAGAAAAATTTGCCTTACAAATCTTATATCGACGAAATATCCACCACCTACAATGATGTAGAGGGGATATAGGTTTATTAGAGTATAATCGAGATAGGCTCTATGAGCGATATGAAAAATGGAAAAATAAGACCCATGCAGAGCGCCAGAATATTTTAAATTTAAATCAACAAATTTTTGCACTACAGAATAATCAACAAAATCAAAGAAATATGGCAACAATCCTGGCACCAATATTTTTAGGTAATCACGATAAAGATGTTGAGATTTTTATTAGTCAATTATCAGCATATTTGGCTGGTATAGATGTGAATCCAGTTGGTGCAACAAGAGATAGAGCTTTTGGTATTCTTAGAGGATGTTTATCTGGACTAGCATTAGATTGGTTCGATCGAAAAATTCTTGGTAAGCGATGGGAGCTTCATAATATTCTTGCAAATCATGGACAAGCCAATATAGCTGGTGTTCAAGGACCGTACTATGGCACAGATGAATACTAGCAATAGTTTTAGAAATCCTTCAATAGCCCATACCTATGCTAATACTCCTGCTAATAATGCTGTAACAGTAGGGAATTCAATGATTCCAGCAGAAGCTTTTATTGAAGATTGGAGCTTAGCTGGAGGACGCCCATCGGAAAGACCCGCCAATGCAGTAAATGCAGGTAATAATAATCCTATTATATTTGATAATATACGGATTGGACA